TCTCTCTCTCTCTCTCTCTCTCTCTCTCTCTCTGTGTGTGTGTGTGTGTGTGTGTGTGTTAGATTTAGAGTATGGGATTCTGAAAGGGCTTTCTCTCTATTTTGGTTCTGGAAACTACAACCACAGATAAAAGGTCACGGACTGTTTCCTAGGAGTCAGGAGATATTCTTATATATTGTCTCACCTAACTAATCTGATTCCTAAAGGATCATTTTTCAAATGTTCTTTCTGGAAGAAGAGACCTTAATTAAATCTCTGTGTTTCACTAAATACATTGGTATTCCTAAGCACACCCTGAAAGGTGATACCTAGCTGATTTTGCTTATCAGTAACCCTCTGGACATACATTAATTCTTCTGTCTGCCTTAGAAGGGCAATATTCCCATCTGCCTTTTTTAAAAATAGATATCTCAAAATCTATTATTAGAGACTTTTGTAACTGTTTTCATTTGCAACATCTTGTAACATACGGCAGCTTTCTATGCATCTTCCTATAATTTACATAAATGCTTGTGTAAATTATCAGGAACCTTTTTTAAAAAATGCAAATCACCCGGGCTTTTATTCTCTGATATGTATGTATATACTATATGTGTGTATGTACAGTAAGTATATTCCTCTGTTCAGGCTTTTCAAATGCAAATTCCTTCAAAGTAAGCTCGGTTTTTGAATGTGGTTACTACTATTTGCATACAACTTTCAATAGCATACCTTTCTGTCAGATGTGTATTGCTGGGGATTCATGGATGTCTGATCTGGGAAAAATTGTCAAAAATGGATTTCACACTGCTTCCTCTAAGTCTTGGTGGGTTAGGACCACCCAAATTATTTCCCAGAAGAACCTAGACTGGACTTTTCTTTCCCTCCCCCCCCCCGATTCCTTAATACACATTTTGCCAGCCTCAGTCTGCATAATTAGATGATATCCAAATAAGGATGTTTGACGAATTAGAATAGAACAGAGCTGGAAGGGACCATGGAGGTCTTCTAGTCCAGCCCCCTGCTTAAGCAGGAGAACCTATACCATTTCAGACAAGTGACTGTTTAGTCTCTTCTTAAAAATCTCCAGTGATGGAGTGTCCACAATTTCTGAAGGCAAGCTGTTCCACTGGTTAATTGTCCTCACTGTCAGAAAGTTTCTCCTTAATTCTAGGTTGCTTCTCTCTTTGATCAGTTTCCAACCATTGTTTCTTGTCCTGCCCTCTGGTGCTTTGGTGAATAATTTGACCCCCTTTTCTTTGTGGCAGCCCCTTAAATACTGGAATACTGCCATCATGCCTCCCCTATTTCTTCTTTTATTTAGACTAGCCCAGTGGTTCTC